TAACATGACATTTCTATGACCAGTTCTCATTAGTATAAGACAGGCCATATTTTTGTGGGGTTCGTTTCTTTTTCTATATACAAGATAGTAACAAAAAATAAAGCAAAAAACAAGTGCTTTGTCTGGAACTATGCCTATATGCCTGGAATGGCAGGAAGAAAAAAGGCTGAGCTAGATTGGGGAACTAGAAGGGTTGGTGGAGAATAACCTTACTAGGGTGTCTTCTGGAAAATGAGCTTTTGGCTCATTTATAGTTCATTTTCTAAAAGACAGTTTCTCCAAAATGCTTCAAAAATCAAATTATTTATTAGATTTATATCCCATCTTTCATTCAGAAGTTCAAGATAACATATGATTTATCCCCCCCCCCCCAATCCTGTGACATAGGTTGGGCTGAAAAGAGTGAACTTTTATGACTCAGGGTGGACTAAAATCTCAGTCTTCCTGCTCCTAGATGAGCACCTTAAGCGCTATAACACTCTGGCTCTTAGTTGTGCTGATCAATCCAAAAGATAATTTCCATCACAGTCCTTAGGGATCTTTCTGCAATATTTGATAGAAAGCTTATTCATATGTTAGTGATAGCTTCATAGACCATGTTAATGAAAAGCAGGATGGACATTCCATATTGATTTTTTTTTTTAATAAAAAGATTGGAGATTTGTATGGTTATGAAGATCCACAGAAACATTTTAAGGGACAGTGAAGAAGAGACTTTTCTGTCATACCTACTGTAAAAGCAGCAGAGTTGGAGAATGGGCTGATGATCTGTGTGGGAGCACATGTTGCACCCCTAAATTCAAATATGTATTTCCATGCAAACCCAGAAAACGAAACCCAGCTCCTTTAAGGAGCTGTTGACATGTATGATGTGAACACCTCCATGTGCTCTAAGTCACCTTTCTCTCTTTGCATCTGAATCGCCAAACAGCTGATATATCCAGCCTTGGATGTATGGGGAGAGGAGCCAAGCTCATTTATTACTTGTGGTTCCTCCCCTCTAACCATTATTCTTTACTGAATTTCATTCAATTGGAATTCCATAATCTGTCAAAAGAAACACATGAAACAAAACTGGGGGGAAAGGAACATAGGCAAGCAGGACGTGTCCATGTTGCATTTTAAGTTATATCCCTCTCACCAGTTTATAAAGAATGGGCAGGGTGGACCCCGAGTCCTCCTGCATCACTTTTAGTCAGAGTTTCAGCAGGAATTTGACGCGATAGCTAAAGATGTTTGCTATGGGCTTTCCTGCTATTAATGTATAAAAACAGAAGAAATTCTGTTGGGTCAAGCCAGAAATTTATCTGGCCCTGCTTCTCACAATAGCCAACCAGTTGCCACAGTGGAATCCCATAAACAAGAGATTAGAACAGGTCCCTTTCTCACAATTAGGATCCAAAGCAGATGTGTCTGTGGAATCTGATGAATCAGAATGATAAAACATGCATTGCAGCATCACCACACAAGCTTCATCCTTGAAGTAGGTATGTGTGCTGTCATAATGCATTTACAATCACAATGCTTGTTTCAACCTTTGCTGCTCCTTGTCCACCCCTAACCCACCCCCTGGACATCCATGATCCCAAAGCTTATCCTGGAAGTAGCAAACAGCCATTTCATATATTGAGATGTGCCACATAGAAATACCAAACACAGGACACACTCTCAATGTCTACTGACACCATCTGAAAGCAATAACTGGTATCATTTGGCTCAGAAGACCCAGTTTCTGAAAACCTCTGAGAATGAGATTTTCAATTTTAGTGCAGTTAGGATGAACATCTGTTCATGTGCATTTACTTGCTATGGACCCTTATCTCATGTTGTAGAGGAGAGAATGTAATGGGTCTCCTTGCCTGGTCTGCTGAGCTTGCCGCTTGTCTGGCCCTGGTGAAGCTCCACCAAGGAGAGATCATGCTGCCGTGCGGGTAGCATTCTGAAGTTAGGACTGAGGGTAAAGATAACACAGGGAAAAGTGTGGTAGGGCTGAGGTAAGTCCAAGATGATTTGGACATAGCATGGATTGGAGTGTGGCAGAGCTCATTTAATCAATTTTTATCTTGCCTTTCCCTTCATAGGGTGATCAGCATAGCGAACAACATCAAAAAGTGTAGAAATAAAAAGAGATAAATAAACAAAAGATTAAGAGGAAGGCAACATTGGAAATACAATGCTAAAGACATTAACATGTAAAGAACTGGCTAAACTGATATTTGAAGGACTGCCTTTTTCCAGTTTCATCTGCCTGACCTACCAGATCGGAGAGGCAGGGTATGTTACAGGTCCCCTCTATTAAGGAAGTCCATCTAGTGGGACCAAGAAGAATGGCCTTCTCCATGGTGGCTCCTTCCCTGTGGAACATCATCCCCGCAGAGATAAGACGGGCCCCCACCTTGATGCTCTTCCACAAGGCCCTGAAGACATGGTTGTACTAGTGGGCCTGGGGATCCCAGGTCGACCCAGAGCCCATCAAATGGCTAGTGTAAATGTATTGTTGCCAGGGGGATGGGGGTGGGGGTGGAGCAGGTTTTGTATTGGGATTTTTATTTTTGTAAGCACCTGGACTCACCTTGAGTGAGTTGGGCGGCCATATAAATTGTTTAAATAAATGTATGTATGTATGTATGTATGTATGTATGTATGTATGTATGTATGTTTGCTTGCTTGCTTGCTTGCTTGCTTGCTTGCTTGCTTGCTTGCCCAAAGATTAATACTAGTAGGTATTACTTACTATAATTACTGACTAAATTCTCATTCTCCTTTGTCCAGAGCAACTCATGAACTATAGATAGCAGAAAATGGCCATACATCCTTCTCTCAAAATCAGCCATGTCTTAGATATGTCCTCAGGTCTTGGTCTGTCTTCCCCAGACCTGACTATAGCTAAAGAATCAGCATCAAAGGACATTAGATGCTGATCTGCTTAGTGAATGTTGTTTGGTTTGGATCTTGGCATTCTTCAAGAATCTAGCAACTATGTGCAGCCCCATGCTGAAGTCCAAGACACTTGAGAATGAGTCGTGTCCTCAATTCAATTATTTCTCCATTTCAGTATGACTGTTACATGGAATAAAAGAAAATTTCCCAGTACACATTAGGAATTTCTCTTTCCTTATGTTTAAAATATAAATTGGTTGGCTGGTTGGCTTTTAAAATATTCCTGACATTATTGTAACCCAAATGAAAATAAATTTTCCCACAATTTGGCACTTCTCTTTACAGAGTGAACTGAACTCAGAATTATTGTGACTGTTGGAGATAATGATCAGCTCAATCCTTGTTTTTATCTAAAAGCATCCCCTTTTAAATCCCCAAACATTAAAATATTCCTAGCAGCGAGCTAATTGAAAGTTGATGAGCAATAGCAAATTGGGGGGAAAAAAAACCCCTTCTATATGATATTGGTATTAAATACACCCAAAAGCCACTTAAAGAGATCTTTTCTGTACCAGTTAATAATGTTTCACTGTGTCCCTTTTAGAGGAACTGAAAAAGAACTAGGCAAATTAAAACCTCTTTAAAAGTAACTGTGAAGCTGCCCCAGGAGTTACACCCACTGATGAAGCACAGCCAAAATTAGGGTCTCTCCAAGTTTTGACACCTGAGTCTCCTTCTAAAAAACCTCTGTCTGGTGATTCTCTACAGCCCACGTCCACTACCAGAGCACCCTCAGTTTGGAGAGGCTACAGCAAAGACTTCTCTGCTGCAGCTCTTCTTATGTCTCTTTTTCCCTTGGTGCCTTATTTGGCAGCAATGGGGCAGCTGGCAATATCAGACCCCATCACTCTAGTAAGCATCAAGCTGTTAGGGTTAGAAACTGTCATTTTAATTTCCCAAAAAGATTGAGTTAAAATGTCCCACGTGGGTATTACGGGAAAACAAAATGGCAGGTCCAGGATAGAGCTATATTTAAAAGAGAGGTCCAGAGTTGGTATGAACTCAGAGTCCTTCTACCCCAAATACTTGTTTCATTTTCTATGACATCTGCTTTTTAAAGCCCAATTTCCTTCCAAACGTGCTTCTACATTGATTTGCAATTTGTTTTAATCTCCAGAAGAACATTTTGGTATATTTTCATTCACAGTTTTCCTTAATTTTCCCTACCCCCTACTTTTTTACAATTTATGTCCTAATGTGCAGAGTTTTTTTTTTGCAAATGTGTGCATTTTTGCTTGCATGTTTTTGCCTGGAGGACTGCATTGCAACATTTCAAGAAATGAAAAAAAGAAAAAAGGCAAAACTTTCCAGTTTGCTTATTTGTTCAGAAGTAGCACAATGCAACTCTTCGGATTCAGTTCCAAGAAGATGATTTAGACTATAGATACAGCTGCTTTAAACAGTAGCAAATGGGTGCTATGTTTGTGCCTCTGCATGTTCCAAAGTCTGTTTCTAGAATCTAATCTGAAGCATTGTACAGCTCTATCAGAAAGCGCAAATTAAAATATCTTAAAATAAAAATCAAATTACTTTCCCCCCCATCCCTTTCTATAACCTTCATAATGCAGACAGATTACATTGTGTTTGCTGCTCAGTATTTTATGCATTAGTGTCTGTAGGCTGGAGAATTAACACTGGGATTTAAAGAGGAGGAGCCCAGAAGGAAGCCTACCAGGCATAAACTGATATAAGGAAGCAAGGGAGTTTATGGAAGTCCCATCAGTCATTCTCTCAAAAACTCTGAATACCATCACGATAAAGATAAAAAGGCCTCATTTTCTGAGCAGGATATATGTATGTATGTATCAATTAATGACTTCATTAAAAACTTAATAACTACTTTTGAGTTCCGCCTGTATAGCCCTGGATAAGAACCAATGACTGTAACACTAGTCTTCTGAAGGGGAAACAGGATCTTTACAGCGGGATCTTCTCCTTCTCTGCCAACATTATGTCTTCCTCCTAGGCCCCTCATTGTCTGTTCTTGATTATCAACAAACCCACCCCCCAAATGATTTGCTAGTTAATTTTCTGAGATACATGGATGTGGAGATGTATACCATCTGAGCTGTGGCTCCTGGACTTTTGAAGAAGGTGTGGCATTCCCCTTCATGGTATTCTTCTTTACATTCACGGCAGAACACAAACTGGGGGGGGGGAAAAAAGAGCCAGAAGACATAAACAGGCATTAGGAATCAAGGAGAAATTCTACAGCCATAGTGTTGTTTATCAGATGATCCACCATTCTTCTTATCCCATTAAATTCTCCTAATTTCTTATTTATCATCCATCTGGTCACATAGCCTGCTCCTTAACACAAACCTACATATATAATATACTTTTCTGCTATGAAACAAGCTTCTATTACAAGAAAAAGACCCCTTCCTTTTCTTTTACACATGGAATCACTGAGGTTTATAACAAAATGTAAGGTTTGTAGACCTGAATCTCAGAAAATCCAAAACCAGGAATTCAGGCAGAGGCTC